ATTATATGAAATAACACGAAGGGGCTTCAAAAAGTTTGTGGAAGAATGGAACTGAAAGGCAATGGAGTTTGTCCGTGAATTTTGGAAGCCACCTCGTATAATGCATTTTTTCATCGGAGAAATAAAAATTCAGAAGTAAATTTAAAGACATGCACAGATCTCTATCAATCATTAATAAGAGAAGGTTTTGAAATATTTGAAACCACAACAAATCAAATACTGCCAAATACTGATTATCAAGCATTTTACCTTCACAGGAGCCTTGTAACAATGATCCAAAAACATCACTAAGTGCTTAATTTCACATAACGTACTACACCATCATTGATACAACCTTTCTTGAAAAGAAAGACAAAAGTGTATGAAGTTCTTCAAATAGATTTTCTTTCTTAAGCAGTGTAGATGATGAAGAGTTCAGGAAGGCATCAAGGAGTTAGTGCAAGCTTATTCTGATGACTGATACACAAATCTTTATGGAGAAATGTGACAATTTCTTTCTTAAATGAGAACTAAGTTTACACATTCAGGAAAGACAAACTTTACTCATGTAGGTATATATGGGATTCCTGGTATGGCGCTATATGTAGAATAAGCACTGGACTACTAACCATAAATTTGACAGTTCAAATCACCAGTGGATCCTCAGAAACACTCTACAGGGTCACAATGAATTGGAATCGACTCAATGGTACTTAAAAACAACAACAATAGGCATCTAGAACTCCATAATAGAAGATAAACTACAATGTGTAGTTCCCAATGTTGAAATTGATTTCCACATATTCCTAACCTAAACTATCGAAAACTGCATCACAGCATGATCATTTTCATCCCTTGTTGTTGTTGTTATGTGCCGTGGAGTCAGTTCCGACTCATAGTGACTCTGTACAGGGTTTCCGAGGCTGTAAATCTTTACAGGAGCAGAAAGCCTCATCTTTCTCCCGCGGAACCGCTGGTAGTTTCGAACTGCTGACCTTAAGGTTCACGGCCCGATTCGTAACCTCTACGCTACCAAAGCTCCTATTTCAACCCTAGTGAGACTAAAAAACCTTCAGTGTACAATGATTTCAGAAAGATTCAATTCATTATTCTTATTATGTATTTTTCAGCAACTTAATTGTAATGAAATCATTGAAGAATTTGTAAGAGCAAATAGAAATGTTTTTAATATAATGTGTTGTACATGAAAAATCTATCTATAAACAAAATATAGAAATGTGTTATCTGATCATCAAAGTTCCTTTGATGGAAGCGGAGAGCTAAGCCTCACAATATTCAGAGGGCTTCTGTGGACCCGGTTGGGGACCTGGTTGGCAAGCAGTGCCAGGAGACCAGAGGACTCCTGGGCCCAGAGTCAGTGACATGGCCACGGAGGACTCAAGTAGAGAATGGAGCTGCCGGCTGATGGGAAGAGAGGGCATGTGTACAAGAACACCCACATTTGCTGATGATTCCCACGTGACCAGGACTAGATGACTGGATGATCAGAGCTCAACCAGGAGAAGAAAGAAGAGGGGAGGGAGGGGAAGAAGATTGAGCTGATCCAAGCTGATTAACTTGACCTATGCATACGTATGCAGGGACACAAAAGAGGCGATAAATCCTTACAGCAAGAAACATTCCCACCCCCTCCACACACAGAGTAGACAGAGAGGGGCAACTTGGACATTGGATACCCAAATGGGGAGGGAGGGACTACAAAGGCAAGAAGTAACTGGCTTACAAGCCTTCAAGAGGGAACCTAGAGCTAGGGGGTATGGAGGAAGGCAGAATCACCAGTGAGTACTATCCAATTTGTCCAGGTGGAGCTGATGAAATGAAATGCAGATGGGTAACATGTGATACTGTAGTGAATAATGGTTATCAAGATGGATTGTGAGTGTTGGAAATGCAAGGGTAGATGTTTTGTAGCAAGGAAGAGAGCGATTATTTCTCCAGTCTAGGAATGGGGGTCTCTGGGACCACCAACAGATAAGAGCCGAGAACGGGACCCCACCCAGAGAACCGGGGATGCCTGAGATGGAGACAGAGATGATGAGAAGGAGGGATGAAGCGGCTGGGGACTTTGAATCCAGAGAAGGAGAGGAACTGTGGCTCGAGGGGGGAGGGGGGAGTGTAGAGCATGGGCTTCTAGGATATGCCCTTTGGTGGAAAGACAAGGCATAGAGGGGAACCATGGCAATGTAATGATATACGATTGAATGAATATGGAACTGAGGTTCTCTCATGTAAACTATCATATAATTCACAATAAAACATTAAAAAAAAAGGTCCTTTGATGGCATATTTTCACTAGTTCATTTGTAACTATAATGTTTGTTATTAAACAAGATCAAAATGGAAGTATAAGCTGTCTAAAGCAACATTGGTTAAAGTCAATTTTTCATTGTGGGAGATCAGCAGAACTTTACATTAATGGTTGAACCAACTAAGTTTACTGACTTATTTTCTTTGGTATAGAATATGTGTAATAGTCGTTTTGTAGAAAATGTATCAAATAAAAATCTTAGTACCCCACATCCACTAAAAATTGTATCATCTAGTTCATCTCCTTCCACTAAAATGGCATGTCTCTTTTGCATTCAATCACTGACATATTTGCATTAAAAAGCAGATATGTGGTTGTCTTTCTTCATTCTTGGACTAGCTCTCAGAGTGGGGGCTAACTATTGGCTTGTCTACAAGGGCATGTAAATAAGGAAAGTTGTTTCAAGGAGAAGCAGCTTTTTTTATAGAAAAAAAAACAACATTTAAACATTTTTTATTAACTAGCTTTGTCTTCAATATCATCTGTTCATCTGTTTAAAAGAAAAACATTTAGCTACCATTGTTGTTGTTGTTGTTATGTGCCATGGAGTTGGTTCCGACCCATAGCGACTCTGTACAGGGCTTCGAGGCTGTAAATATTTACAGGAGCAGAAAGCCTCATCTTTCTCCCGCAGAACAGCTGGTAGTTTTGAACTGCTGACCATTAGAATAGCAGCCTGATTCGTAACCACTACGCTTCAGTGCTCCTTTTAGCTACCATTACTGAACATTTTAATCAAAGGCTCCACTGAAAGATCCTGATCAAAAGGGGAAAAATATATACCAGACTTTCAAATTCTTACAGGCTCTAGACCTTCTGGAGCCATAGAAGGTGATGAATCCCTGAAACTATTGCCTTGAGATTACCTTTTAAGTTTTAAAACCAAAAATATCCCCTGAAATATTCTTAAAACGAACAATTTAGCTTTGTTGTCTTGTTAAGTGCTGTCAAGTCAATTCCGACCCATAGTGACCCTGTATAGGGTTTCCAAGGAGCAGCTGGTGAGCTTGAATCGCTGACCTTGTAGTTCAAATGGCTTTGCAATCTGGCTCATTAACCCACAGAGCTTTAGCTAGTTTTAAAAAAAGGTCTGTCTTGAACATTATGTTCTATTAAGACCAATCTGCATAGGATTCAAGTGACAACAGCAATTCAAAAGATTAAGAACCTTAGGGGGTGCTGAGTAATTGAGGGAAGAACTCAGAAAAGAAGGCTAATAATGGTTGTATAACTTGAAAAATGTAATCAATGTTACCAAATTTACATGGCAGAAACTGTTGAATTGGTGTATGTTTTGTTGTATATATTCTCATTAGCACAATAATGCTTAAAGAAAAAAAACAACAACAAAAACTCCCACATTCAGGAATAGAATAGTAGACATTTCTAGCAAAAAGCAAGTCAAGTAATTTCAAATTTAATAATCAGGCCACAGCCAATGACGATAGAGAGCAAGACCCTAATCATTCCCCTTTAAAACGGTAAGATTCCTTCTGAAAATTTTTTTTTTTTTTACAAAACCTTAGAAAGCCGATGTGTTGCAACTTGAGCTAGTTTTGTACTTTTGCAGTCCAACCTTCTAATATGAGTATACAGAATTTTTTGTATCTCTTTGGGATTGGTGGCTATGAGCCATTCTTTAAGGCTTTTCAAACCACCTTTGAAAAGCTTAAAGAATGTAAGGAAAGCTCTCTCATAAGGAAATTACATTTTGAATAATCCATAGAGGCTGTACTCTACATAACACAAATTCACATCCGGCATTTGTCATCAATATATGGGGTCAAGACAGCTCGGTGACTCTGTAGATAAGCGCTGGACTGTGAACAAGGCCGGCAGTTCGAGCCCACCAAACGCTCTTCGGGATAAAGATGAGGCTTTCTGCTCCTGCATATATACAGCATAGGAAACCCTGTACAGGGTCGCTCTAAATCGGAATCGACTATGCAGCACTTAACAACAACAAGGGGTCAAAGCAGCCCTGGTGGCACAGTGGTCAAGCGCTCAGCTAATCAAAAGGTTAACGATTCAAACCCACCATCAGAGAAAGATGTGGCAGTTGGCTTTAGTTAAGATTACAAACCCACAATCACTGAGTTTATTCCGACTGATAGTGACCCTGTATAGGGTTTCTGAGGTGGTAAATCTTTATGGGAGCAGAAAACCGCTTCTTTCTCTCAAGATGCTGCTGTTGGGTTTGAAGTTCCCACCTTGCTGTTAGCATACCAGTCCTTATCCTACAGAACCACCAGAACTTGCCTTGGAAAAACTATGTCCTATAGGGTCCCTCCGAATTGACTCCAAAGCAACAGGTTGTTTTGTTTTTTTTTAAACAGGTTTTGTTTTGACATCGGGTTACTTTGAATGCAGGTCAATTCCATGGCTGCTAACCACAGGCAGCTAATTACAACAGGTCTCTGACAGAGACGCGGCCTCACTTCAGTCTTTTGATAGCAACGGTTCCCACATCCCCGCCAGCGGAACCCCTCCCTCCCCGTAGGGATACGCCCGCGCCGCGGAGCCTTCTGGAAGCCGTAGGCACCCCAACTCCTTCATGCCAGGACTACGACTCCCGGCAGGCTTAGTTTCTTTCTCCCTCCCTCTTGGCGCATGTTTTGCCGGGAGGGGGTAGGTAGCTGGCGGCTTGGTCCAATGGGTGCCGGCTCCCGAGAAGAAGGCGGAGGAGAGGAGGTGGACTCTGGGCCCCGTCCCCATTCATTGCCGCTGCCGGCCGGGTGGGGGGTCCTGTCTCCTTGGGAGTCATGGAGGCGCTGATTCCTGTCATTAACAAGCTCCAGGACGTCTTCAACACTGTGGGCGCCGACATCATCCAGCTGCCTCAGATCGTAGTGGTGGGAACGCAGGTGAGAGACGAGGCTGGCTTTGCCGAGGCCAGAGCCTGGGACGCGGGCCTGGTGCAGACCGTGGCAGCGTTCGCTCCCGGCTCAGCTTTTGAGGCCTTTGCCTGCAGTGTGCTGCTAGTGGTCCCGAGGCCCTTCAGGCCCTGCTGCAGCCGCCCGCTTAGCACCGAGAGCTCGGGGTTCGGCCGGGATACCAGGGGCGGAGCCGGCGCGGCGGGCCCCGCGAGCCTCGGGGGCGGGCCTCGGGAAGGACGGGTCGGAGGGCGGAACTGGAGTCCGTGGGGACCGGGCGCGGCTCTCTTTGCGGGCCGCTGCTTCCAAGGGCACCTGGGGGACGCGGGGTGCACGCGGGGTCGCCCTGGGCTCTCGGTGGGCTGGCTAGTTCCATCTTGGTTTCATAGTGTTGGGGTGCCATTTCCAACCCTACCGGCCTTGCCTTCCCCGAGGAACCCTGGTAGTGCAGCGGTTAAAGCGCTTGTGCGCGAACTGAAAGTTAGTGGTTCGAACCTCACAACTACTCTGTGGGAGACAGGTGTGGCAGTTTGTTTCCATAAAAACTGTTAAGTGCCATGGAGTCTGTTCTGACTCATAGCGACCCTTCAGAGGGTTTTCAATGAGCGGCTGGTGGGGTTTGAACCGCCAACCTTGTGGTTAGGAACCCAGTGTTTATTATATCCTATAGTGCCACTTACAGCCTTGGAAACGCTATGGGGCAGTTATGTTCTGACCTGTAGGGGTCACGACGAATCAGAATCGACTTGGCAGTGGGTTTTGGTTTAATTTGGTTTGTCTTGGCGGGCCTGTGAAAGTCCGTTTTGAAGCCGCTGGGTTGGGGCTGACTTTTCCTGCGGTGTAGCGCTCCAGGTTTGGAGAAGCTGAAGCAGTTTAAAAATAGTGCAATAAGCGTTATGTAGGAAGGATTATCCCTTTTTTTTTTTTTTTTTTTTGCGAAGGCTGTGTTTTTTATCTTCTACAGTTTTGTGATCGTGACCTAAATTGGGCATCTGTTTGCTGGCGTTTTCAAGTTGGGTTCCATAGATACACATAATTTTTTATATGCAGAAATGTTGAGGAAATAGATTGTTTATATCTAGACGGTGGAGACATTTACGTTTCATTTTCTTTCCTGCATTTCTGTGTTGAAGCGGAATCATAATACTTTTATATTGAGAAAGACGTTTTCGAGAATAGTGTATCTATTTTAAGTGCATTCATTTATTTTCTTTTGGAAGATCTCTGGTGGAACAGTGATTAAGTGCTCAGCTGCTAATCAGAATATTGGCGATTTGAACCCACCAGCCGGTCTGAGGGAGAAAGATGTGCCGGTTTGCGTCTCTAAAGTTTTATAGCCTTGGAAAGACTACGGGATAGTTTCACTCTGCCTTGTAGGCCCGCTATACTATGAGTTGGAATCCGCTGGACAGCAGATGGTTTCTTTTATTATTTTCAACAAGACGTATTGCTACATCTTGCTACAAAATTAAAGTGGAATATAAATATTATGAGAAGGAACTTTTAATGGGTTCAAAATACTGTATAGCGTTTAGCTAAACAACTGGGAACTACATATATCCGGTACTTTAAAATAAGTAGCTAAGGCAGTAGAATTTTTTTTTTCAGGAACAAGCATCCTTCATTTGCTTTAAAATTGCTATGGAACCTGCTCAGTCCTAGCTGCATAGTCCCCAGTAATATTTGTAGCACTTTATATTTGTAGTGGAGCCCTGGCGTGTCACTGTAGGATAAACACTCCACTACACGGTTGATTTGAATTGCAAGGTCGGCAGTTCAAACTCACCAGCTGCTTCTCAGAAACACTAATATGAGTCGAAACTAATTCAATGCCACTTAACAACAATAATATTTATAATATTTATAGTGCTATTTGGAGACTCAGAATTATCAAGCATAATCTATTAAAAGCAGTACTTATTTTAAGTATATTTTGTTGATTACCATGTTCTTGTTCCCTAGAATATAGTCTGGGCCGTGTAGTTGTTGTTGTTGAGTGCTGTTGAGTCGATACTGGCCCATAGTGATCCTGTATAGGGTTTCCAAGGAGTAGCTGGTGAGCTTGAACCACCGACCTTGCAGTTCAAATGGCTTTGTAGTCTGGTGTATCCACAGGCCACATGGTGCTCCATAAATATTCTGAATGAATGGATATTGGACGATGTAACAAGATAGTATTTTAAGACACTGGGACTTTTGTCATAAAAAATTAATGTGTTTTTGTGAATAGAAGAGATAATATAAATTAAATCTTTAGTAGTAATTTGAGAGTGTTTACTGGCTGTACATGGCTCTTTCAAAAACTTTCCATGTTTGTTGAAGAGATTCTCAGCTTTTTATCTTGAAACAGTAAAAGAATCATAGCTATGTCAACATAAGTAGTTTAAAATAAGGATTTACTTACACAAACTAGAGTTTATTTCAGTAAACCTGTTAGCAAAATTAGGGGTGGAGGACTAGGTAGAAAGTCCCTAATTAGTGCAAATGTTTCAGGGACATCTAGGGGCACCTTGGAAGAAAGGCCTAGTGATTTACCTCTGAAAAATCAGCCATTGAAAACTCTCAGAACACATGTGGGTTTGCCTTGAGTTGGAATTGACTTGATGGCAACAGATTTTTTTTTTTTTTAAACTTTTTATTGTGAATTGAGTGAAGGTTTACAGATCATCAGTTTTACAGTCAATAAATCATATACTTTGCTTCATTATAATAATTGCAATCCCCTCCCTGTACCAACAGTTTACGGTATTGTCCTGTATTCACTTTAATTCACTCTTGCATTCTTTTCTGTGTCTCCTGCTGCCTGCGCTTTCCTCTGCTAACCTCACTCTTGTTGTATAGTGACGGCTCTGTCAACCATGTTAACATGTTTCTATCCTCTAGCCTGTGAACAATCTCTGCCTCCTCCCCATACACCATAACCATCATAGATTGTTTCTTTTATCAAGAAAACTTTTTCTTAATTTTATAACATTGACCTCATACAATACTTGCCCTTTCGTGATTGACTAATGTCACTCAGCATAATGTCTTTCAGGTTCATCTTTGTTGTAAGGTGTTTTGCAGATTTTGTTATTCTTCAGTGTAGTCCATTGTGTTTATGAACCAAAGATTTTTTAACCATTCTTGCTGTTGATGGGCATCCAGGCTGTCCCCATCTTTTTGATATCTCTAGTGGGTAGCATATTGAAGGATTCTCTTTTCTTATCCATTCTGCTCTCTCTTTTGACTGGTGCATTTAATCCATTTACATTCAGTGTAATTATCAATAGATATGAATTGATTGCTCTTATTTTGCTATATGGTTTTTGTGTGTTTGTGTGTGGTGCTGCTAATTTCTTTGTTCCACATAATATTCTGTGCTGAGTTCATTTTGTTTGTGGCTTTTCTTTTCTATTGTGTTAATGTTTACTCAGTCTTTCTGATAGTCCTCTTTTTTTATTTTGATATTAAATTTCTTTGAGGTTACTTTGAAATTAATTTTTTTCCATGTTTGAAACAGTCTGTTTTATATTGAATTGTACTTAACTTCCTTGCCATTTGAAAGTTCTGTATTTCCACTATTCCCTCTCGTTGCTTTTTAGTGATGGCATCTGATTTTTAGGGTAGAAAAGTAAAGCCCTACCATTCTGAAAGCTATTAACAGGTGCTAGCAAAAACTGTACTTGTGACAGTATGTGCATGTTGGTGCTTGAAATTACTCAGAAAGTATCTGCTTTTAAACTTGATTTTGGTAGTGATATGCCATGGAGTCGGTTCCAAGTCATAGCGACCCTATCCAGGGTTTCCAAGGCTGTAAATATTTACGGAAGTAGAAAGCCTGATCTTTCTCCCACGGTTTCAAACTGATGATCTTAAGGTTTGCAGCCCAATTTGTTACCACTATACTACCAGACCTCCTAGACTTGATTTAATAGTGGGTAATTACATGCATTGAGACGCAATCCATACTGAAGGCTTTGCTCTTTGATCTTCAATGTGTCTCAATGTAAAGAAAATGAAAATCCTCACCACTGGACCAATAAACAACAATTTTATCAACGGAGAAAAAATTGAAGTTGTCAAGGACTTCATTCTTCTTGGATCAACTATCAAGACTCATGGAAGCAGCAGTCAAGAAATCAAACGACTTATTGCATTAGACAAATCTGCACAAGACCTTTTTAAAGCATTGAAGAGCAAAGATGTCAGCTTGAAGACTAAGGGTGCGCCTGACCCAAGCCATTGTATTTTAAATAACCTCATATGCTTGCAAAAGCTGGACAGTGAATAAGGAAGACCATAGAAGAATTGATGCTTTTGAGTTATGGTGTTGGAGGAGAATATTGAAAATGCCATGGGCTGTCAAAAGAACCAACAGATCTGTCTTGGAAGAAGTGCAGCCAGAGTGTTCCTTGGAGGCCAGGATGGCCAAACTTGGTGTCTTATACTTTGGACATGTTGTCAGGAGGGACCAGTCACTGGAGAAGGATATCATGCTTGGTAAGGTGGAGGGTCAGAGAAAAAGAGGAAGATCCCACCCCCATCCCCCAGCGAGAGGGATTGGCAAAGTGGCAGCATCAATGGGCTCAAACATGGCAATGATAGTGAGGTTGGCCCAGGATCGGGCAGTGTTTCATTCTGCTGTGCATCAGGTCACTATGAGTTGGTACCAACTTGATGGTACCTAACAACAACAACAGCAATTACATGCAGGAGTCGTGGTGTGACGCTGTGGGATAATACACTGGACTGCAAGATTGGTTTGAACTGCAAATTCGGTGGTTCAGATTCTCCAGCTGCGCTGCGGTAACCTTATATGTGTTGCTATGAGTCTGAATGAATTTGATGGCAATTAACAACAATTACATCCAAGTCCTTATTAGCTGAAATTTATTTCCTTATTCTTCAGCTACAGGAGAAATAAATAAGAATAGAAGCAATGCCCTTTTTCCCTCTCAAATTTTCTCATAATATGTTTTAAAAAATCTCATCTACTTGAGTGTTAGCAC